GAGTACTCACATGAGTAACTGAGTACTCACTGAGTAACAATACTCAGAAATTGTTAGTAGTACCAATATGAGTACTCATGGACGAATTATGAGTAAAGTCGTACTCATCGTATGATTACTTTCTCTAGGGTGATGGGTTTAAAACTGCCTAAGTTATAACTTGTTGGAGTTATAACTAGTTATAACTAATTTAACGTTTGGTCAAAAATTTCAAATAGTTATAACTATCAACTTGGGTTGATAGTTATAACTCGAGTTGATAGTTATAACTCCAGCTGATATATATATAGATAGTACTTTTCCTAATTTTTCCGTTCTTATATTTCAAAATTTTTGTTTTCTTCGCATCACCTAATACGGTTGTAAAATAAAAGAAAATAAAACTGTTTGTACAATTTTTAACTATATTTGACAGAAAGCCATGCGATAGTCATGGTGAATATATCATGGTATGATCGTTCACTATATCTATATCTATATGTATGTAGATATATCATCGTAAAAGAATCTTTGTAGTGTAGAGTGTTGAGAGCTTTCTTGACGTTACTTCTTTCTTCTAGTTTTACGAGATATTTAGACGCTTGTCTTCTTATGATATCATATTTCCACTATCTATTCTGCATGAAAACTAAACTGAACTGAAGGAAATATTTCGATTAAAAATGTATGCTAGCGGTACTGAATCAAATTTGAATCCAGATATTGAAGTAATTAGCTCGCCAAAGGGCGCTGGTGGTCGAACACGTGACGAGATATGGGTAGATTTTGATGATTATGGTGATGCTAAAACAACTGGGCATAAAAAATGTAAATGTAAATATTGTAATACCACATTTCAATATGCAAAATTACCGATGATGTATCGGCACATCTCACATGAATGTGAACACATATCAAGTATCAATCCAAATGGTCTAAAAGAAATACTTGTCAAGTTAAACAGTAGCACAACTGATACTAGTAACAGTAAACGCCTGAAAGCCCATCATTTAACATCAACAGCAGCATCGACATTGTCTAAATCATTGATAACGACGACACCAAAATGCGGTAAACAATTGAACATGGATCAATTCGGCACACGTACTATTTTACCAAGTGAAAAACAATCAATCGATCAAACATTAGTTCGAGCATTTGTTATGAATGGAATGTCATTTATGACTATTGATAATATTTTTTTCAAAGAATTTTTACTTAAATCCTATGTATACTCCTCCAGATAGAAAAAAACTATCTCTTGATTTGTTGACGCAAGAATTCGTTAATGTTGAAACAAGAAATGATGATTTGTTGAATGAATCTGAACATCTTACATTAAACGTTGACGGTTAGACAGATCAAGCTGGACGTTCATTATATGAATTTAACGCAATCACTGAATCTAGAAAATGTATCGTTCTAGCATTAAAAGATCTTAGTTCACACTCTCATACAGCGATATTTCTGCATGATGAATTAGAAAGTGTACTAAAAAAAGTATCAGTAAATTGTGATGTTAATTCAAAAGTTCGAGCCATTGTCACTGATAATCCAAATGTTATGAAGCGTATGCGTGACTTATTTATAGCACAACCGAGCAATTAACACATTCTTTCGTTACGTTGTTTTGCACACGCGCTAAATTTGATAGCTTGTAAGTATGAATATACCTGGATGCCACCTATGCCCTCTCACTTCGTAAATGCATTTGTGTTTATTTTTAGCTAATGTTATTAAACATTCATATGCGACCAGAATATTATCTCGATTATCAATCGTCACGACATATTTTAATCAGTCACACCAGTCAAAAACACAGTTGAAATTTGAAGCCAAACGAATGAAGGCCAAAAAGGAAACATTAGATATGGTCGCTGATACTCGTTGGACTACTGTTCCGGATAGTCTACATTCGTTTTTATTGTTACGAATTCCATTATTAACAATCGTAACTGAAAATGATGAGCGGCTACCACAAAAAGTTAAAACAGTTGTTAATGCAAGAAATTTTTTTTATGAAATAGAAAATGTGGAATAATGAGAGTGTCAGCATATGGAGTTGGTACCATACAATCAAATTCAGCTACTATGGCAGATTACTATTTAATTTTAATATATATTAATCGTTTGACAAACGAGTTTGTACATAATAGTGAAACAAAAGAATTTGGTCGGTTTGTTAGCAAAGTAGTCAATATTCGTCTTAAAGAATGCCATCTAGTTGGTGGGCTATGATTCGTGATCAGACTAATAAAAATTCATTGAAAGATATAGCGATAAGATTATTTTCTATCACACCACATTCTGTAATGCCAGAAAGATTGTTTTCTATTTTGGATTGGCAACATTCGAAGCGTAGAATTCCGTCCACACATTAAAAATTAACACAGGTTCCGCTGTACTTGGATATGAAGAACCACAGCTGAAAACTAAAGCTGCTACGGCACCCGATGTACTGAAATCCATCGTACATGTACATCACCTTGTCCCATCCAATTTCTCAGATCTTTGAAACAAAGTACCGCCAGATGACGACGTCGATTTAGTCCAAAATGCCATAGAATACGATTGAAATGAAGTACCCAGCATTGTGACCCAGAAACCAGTGAATTGAAAATAAGATAGTGACGTAGTAAACTGAATTGCTTGATTTACTTTGCCTGTGATTGTTGCTACACGAACAGCTGTTCCATTGATTGTATTCGGACCCGAATCTAAGCAGGATCCAGAATCGAAAGAGTAATAAGCTACTAACGTCGTATCAATTTTGAGATAAATGCAATTGATGTGAATTTCGGATGAATTTAAAGCTCAAAAGTTTTTGTTTCTATTTTAGTTATTAGAAGTTTCTAACTCTACTTCTCCCTTCTTTTTAACTCTTCGAATGATCCTTTTTCAACAAGTACACAGATTTAAAGAAAACATATTCAAAACTGATTGGTATCTATACAAGCTATGATTCTCTGTTTCAAATGTTAGAAAAACAAATTCGTTCATTATTGGGACATTTATCAATATTTAAACTATTTAATGAAAATAATAAATCATTTCGAGATTTGGAGCAAGATGGTATCGATTATGCATGGTATCAACTTTTACGTGATGCACTCATGTATATGACACATGTAGAAACATCGAAAAACGAAATGTTATAATACTGTCGATCTTATTTTCATGGTGATTCATTAAGATTAAAACAGATAGAAGATTTTGAATGTACGTATTAGTCAGCTGACGCCATTCAATGGTGTTCAAAAAATCATTTTCTATTTGATTTTGTTAATAAAGCATTAAGAAGATGTTGAAGCGCTGTATAAACTTCGATATTTTATTATTGACTTATGTCAAGGACTAAAACAAATTTTTAATGAAATTTCAGTATATATAAAGAGTGAATGATAGAAAATATTGTTGTTTATCGTGGATTAACACTACCTGATAAAGATATTGAACAATTAAAAAATTCAGTTGGAAAATATGTTTCGACAAATGGATTTCTGTCAATCAGTTTGAGTCAATCGGTAGCCAAAATGTTTGCTACAAATGTTTTGTTTAAAATAGAAATTGATTGTTCAATGAAGCATATGATTTATGCTGATATATCTCAGAAGAGTGTTAATCAAAATGAAGAGGAAGTTTTATTCGATTCGGGTTCACTATTTCAAATTACAAATGCACATTTTTGTGAAAAAAATTGGATTATTACAATGATCGGGGTAAGTAACGTTGAATATGTAAAAAATACACTCGTTAATTTTTCTCGCCATTCAATGCTGAAAAATACTATTCATATGCTAGATATTCATTACGGACAATTCTTATTTATGGTTGGACATTATAGTAAATGCATTGAATACGCAAAAAATTTGTTACAGCAACAACTAATAAATAATAAACTTGATAAATATTATATTCTAAAGATTTTAAATGGTGCTTACAGCAATAACCAACAAGATGATTTAGCACTAAAATATGAACTAGACGCATATAATATGCGTGACAAGAATTTGAATGTTCAGATATTTTATTTTTGATCTTTACAAATTTACAAGCAATCGGCGAAATCTATTTAAATAAAGGTGATTATGATAATGCGGCGACATATTACAAAAAAGCATTATTAAAAATTTCGGATTATAGTAATATTGAAAATTTATGTTTCATAGCCGATCTTCATAATTCACTTGGACATCTTTATTTTCGTCAAAAAAATTTTCTTTATGCTCTTAAACAATGTTAACAATCATTGGAATTTGATTATAAAGCAGTGGAAGTCATTCCTGAAGTACATGAAACACTAGCACAAATCTATTTTGAAATGAACAACGATAACAATGAAGTGGCATTGAAACACTTGATATAGCATGTAATTACATACGAAAATATTTTCCTAAAAATCATTTACGTTTAAAAAAAATTTACATATGGTTTGCACTCATTTATTTTGATTTGAATCAATATGACTTATATATTGAATATTGCGAAAAGTTACTTAAAATACGAATAATAAATGATTATGAGACATCTACTATGGTATATAGAATGCTTGGATTATCTTATATGATTAGGAAACGTTTTAATGAAGCTTTGAAATATTATAATAAATTATTAGAAATGCAAGAACAACATAAAGATTTATTTGAAATTGACGATAATGATCGTATGGATAATGTACGGATGAATGCCAATATTGGATAATGTTACCTTTTGACAAAACAATATGATTTCGCGTTAAAATTTTATTCTACTACTATTGATATTTATGAACAACATATTCAGTCTATTGATACGTTCAATGATGATACTGTTTTGGATGATATCAATCATATCTATGCAAATATGGCTTCAATATATTGTGACTATGATGAATATACACCATGTATCATGTATTACAAAAAAACCTTAACAATATTAACTAAAAGAGTTAATCTAACGGTGGATGACGATAAGAATCAGACTGCAAACTTAAACTGTATGATTGGTTTTTGTTACGATTGTTTAGGATTTTGCTATAGTCAAAAAGAAGAATTTAAACTAAGTACTGATTATTATGAACATGCGTTAAGTATTAAAGAATATATGTCGGACAAAGAATTTGATGACACTGAAAGTACTAAATTGTACTATCAGATAGCTTTTTCATATGAACAACAACAAAAATATAAAAAAGCGATTCAGTATTATACGAAATCATTAGAGATTAATGAAAAGAACGTATCGGACAACTACATGGATATAATCGATTTGTGTAATTGCTTCGGATAATGCGGTGATGCAATTGAACAGTGTTACTTGTGTATTAAATATTATTTGAAAGCATCTATGATATTAGAAAACAATCAACGTCCACAAGATGAAACAAAAAAGGCAATTCTGAACAACGAAATAGGATGGTACTATGATCTCATTGGAGATTATGATCTGGCTTTAGAATATTGTATGAAATCATTAGGATTTTTCGAAAATAATCAATCATTTGATAATGCTATCCTCAACGCCAATGTTTTATCTAGTTTAGGAGTGATCTGCTGTATGAAAAATGATCATGGTCAAGTTTGCACCTATTGTAGACACTTACAAAAAATTCTATTTGAAATGACTTCACTGAGTATATTTTATCTTAATGGTTGGAATTATAAAACCTTGGCTGATATCTATTGTCATTATAATGAAAAAAACACTAGCTTTTAGCTGTTATAAAAGAGCATTAGAAAATTTTAAGAAAGCTGATCCGATAGTAAGATGAAATATAAAACAGATTGGACGTTTATTGACATTAATTTTATCAAATAATATATAATTTTTGTAAAAAAATGTGGACATTGTTGACTATACGCCTTAAGACAGTGAATTCACTTTCACCATCAGCGACAATGGACTGGTAAATTAAATCAGTTTTATTTTAAAGGTCAGTGCTATCGTGGTATGTTATTAAATCAAGAAGATTTCTTGAAATATGTCACTGGTTCTAATATAATGAATACAACATTTTTATCAGCATCAAAACAAACAATAATAACTGAAATTTTTTGCAGGATGAGAAGGTTTAAATTCTTTGAAACAAACACGAGATAAGACATTAATTCAATTAGCTGGTTTATGTACAGATATAATTAAAAATAGGTGCACCGCAGCGGATATCGAAAAAATATCTGAAATTCCTAATGAATAAGAAATTTTAATATTTCCATTTTCAGCATTCGAAATTAAAAGTGTTAAAAGAAATAATGGTGCGATTGAAATAGAATTGGAATAATGTAACGGAAAAGAATTATCAGACAGTTTTGATACTTGGAATCTTCAAACAAATAATTTGATATTGGCTGATGCTTTTATCAAGAAACGATATGTTTGTTTTTGTATTATATTAATCAATCATTTCTATATGAAATGTTTTCTGTATGAAGTGTCATCATTTAATCTTTAACGGTTATGCAGCTATAACAGTAACGAATGGTACACAGGTTGTCACAGTTGTGTGTTATGCAAGCCCATACTGGTGGTATATTCTCTGGCCTGTATGGAAATATTTTCATCTCATCATTTATATTTGTTTGCTGTTTAATTTTATTCTATTATGTAATTGTTTAATTATAAAACAAGTTTATTTTACAAGTTTTAATAATAATCGTTGACGCAAATTCAATATGACACTAACTTTATTAACAAAAACATTTTGTTATATTATTATGCTATTACCATCAGCATTAGGATTTTTCGTATTCGGTGATTTATTATCGTCAAATGTATTAGATTTATTAGATTGTATTCTCTATACCTACCTACCATTGGTTTTATTATTTATACATTAACCGGACAAAAATTTCGGCGGAAATTAAATAAGAATTAAAAAAGCATTACTTTGTTTACAACTATCATCTAAGAATAACCGTTCGATTCATCCAATAGCAACAACAAACCGCTGAGTCAAATCCAACCAATAATTTTCAGAGAATATAAATAACCAAAGGTTATCTCATACTATATGTATGTATGAGTGAGTCATTGCAATGTTCGAAAAATAAATTTGAAAAAATAAATTTGTGGAGGGCAAGAGCTATGTCGATCGTCCAGAGAAACATTATTTTCCTGACACTTACTTATACTGCTAACGAAACAAGGTTTGAATAAGGAAGTGTTTACGATAAGTAACCCCCGTTAAAGTTTGAGTAGTCCAAAACAATTCTACAAAGAACAGGAAAAAATTCTGTAAACTGTTAATCAAGTGAACGTGGATAGCTCAACAGGTTGTAAGATAAATGTCTTTGAGACAGATGTCCAAGAGGGAAACAGTTCAATTTGATAAGTTTTTGAATTTACTTGAATTTAACTGAATTTGGCTGAATTTAACTGAATTTACTTGAATTATAGTGATTTCAGCTGAATTTAAGTGAGTTTAAGTGGATTTAGCTGAATTTTGATTGTGGTAATTCCGAAAATAAATGTGGCAACATTTGTTTTTCGAAACGGTTTCAAAAATCTAGTGAAAACCTACATTAGGGGAAATAACCCGTTTTTGCCTATTTTTGAATAATAACGGGTGGCGCAGAATAAATTAGACTGTTAGTATTTTCAGTATTTCTCCTCTACTTTCCATTTGATCGAAACATATTTTTTTATCAAAAGATAGCCCTTCAAATTCTGCACACAATGGTCTCCTTTATTTAACGAATATAGTTTCCTCCATTTTTCTGGATCGAACGTAATCGTACCGCAAAATCCCGTACAGAACGTAAAACTTTTTCTTTTTCAACTTCTTTGATGGAACGTTTTATTTCGTCGACCAGTGCTGCTTTTGTTGTTATGTGGTCCCAGTTCATAGCTTGTGCTAGCTCGTTCCACAAACTGTAATCCAACGGACATAAATCAGGTGAATTTGGTGGCCAACGGGTCTTCGGGATGAATGCAGGAAAATGATCATCACACCATTTTTGACTCAAAGAATGCGTGTGAGGTCTAGCCCCATCCTGCTGATATGCCCAGTTGGTCCCCAACATATTGTTGCCGCATTTCAGAGCTATTGGAAGAACGTCCTGGATGTATCTCTCTGCATTCATTGTTTCGTCTTCCAAAATCACCGGCATCGTAAGCCCCTTGCCACATACACTCAACCACACCATCACCTTTGCTGGAAATTTGGATTTTTGATGTACACCACCTTTCTTGTCTGCTTCTGCCCTACTAACTGCCCACACCTGGTCGTTCTGAACATTGTATACCCCATCAAGGTCAAAATACTTTTCATCAGTGAAAAGCCATTTTTCGGTGTCTTCTTTGGTGTAGTTGTTCAACACCCAATTTACAAACTTGATCCTCTTAGCTTTTTGAAGATCAGTCAGTTTCGGTTGTTTGATTTTCTTGTACGGAAAGCATCCAAGATCTTCTCGTAATATCCGTTGGATGCTTCTTCTTGAAATATTCGTGTTAGCAGACAATTCCCTTGTTGATACTCGTTTTTTCTTAGCTAGGCGCCATTTGACCTTTGAGATATTGGGTTTTGTTCGAACTGTTCGTGGGCAGCCAGATGGAGACGACAAATTGATAGAGCCGGTGTTTTTGATCATTTCGATCCACAATTTAATTGTTTGTAATGAAACTACTCCGGCCAAATCGCGATAAATTTTCGCCGGTCCGTCACCATTTTCGTATTTATTTTTCACAGCTGTTTGTACTTTACTTTTCATCCTTTTTCAAATATATCTAAAATAGTTGTTGGACTCAGTTATACATGGTTTTGTGCAAAATTTGAAGGGCTATCTTTTGATAAAAAAATATGTTTCGATCAAATGGAAAATAGAGGAGAAATACTGAAAATACTAACAGTCTAATTTATTCTGCGCCACCCGTTATTTTGTAATGTTTGCTGATGACAAAAAATTTGATGTGTTCTACAATACTGATTTTATGTTTTTATGATTGATTAACAATTCTGAGAACATCCTGATACTTCATGCTGTTTAGTATTAGTCAAAATTTCTGCAATGAATTGTGTCATATGCAAATATTTTCTCTTCATACGTTATTTATTGCATAAAACTGAGCCATCGTTTGGATTTAAGGCATTTTTCTAATCTTCATTTTATCTTGTGCTCACTAATGATATTTTTTGAGTTGTGTCCTGCAATGCTCAATGATTTAATGAGCGATCAACTTGTCTGAGAGCACAGTTAACGTTAAGGTTTGTTAGACTTGACACGATTTCTTTTTCACTTACAATTTAGTTTGGTTTCCTTGAGAGATGTTGAATGAGAATTCAGAAGAACAAAATTCTTCTTTAATACTTGCTACAACTGTCAATGCATAATGATAATATTTTTTCTTTGATGTTTACCTTTTTCTAGCAATATTTGGATTAATATTCGAAATATTTTATTGTTGGAGCCGATAATGTTGGTTCAAAATAAATGCAAAAAATTCGCATTTCGCTTCATGGTCATGCAGGAAGATAAAGTGTTAGTTTTGATCTATTTAACAACACTAAACACATTTAGTTTATTGTAATAATTTTGGCTTAGTAAAACATGGTGATGCGTAAGACAAGCAAGTAAAAATTCAGCTTTGAAAAAATTATTATCATAAATGTTGATTTATATTTACCAAAGATCTCAGTACAATACGGGAAAAAATTCTCGGAACTAAAATACGTATCGAATGTTAAAGATTTTCTCGTATCATCTCAATAGGCAAGAGAAAGGAAATAATTTTATTTTTTCATGACTAGGTTGCTGCTCCGACTCGTGCAAGTACAGTCGCTCCTGTCGACGTATCAATTTCGGCACAAATAACAAGTTAAGGACCAGAAAAAAACAGTTTTTTTCAAGCATTGCAGATACCAACAAAAATTAGAAGGGGAACAATTGAAATTATTGTACGCACTTGGTTTGTTTTGCATAAGTTAAATTTTTATTCAAACAGATGATAATGATGAAATCTTCTAACCAGTTGTGCTTCTGAAGCAGCTACTGATGAATAAACCTATCCAGCGGTGTTCTGCAAATCTCTTGTTCTACACTGTATGATGTTTTTTTATTCTGGTACATTATATGTTCGTTGTTTCTTTCTTCTTTAGAATGAGGTACATTTGATCAAAGTTGCTGAAAAAGTTGGAGCTAGTGAAGCAGCATTATTGAATGTATTAAATATTTCAGCATTCAGTTATGGTTTAATTATTCGTCAAGGTAAGGTAAAAAGACGATCTTTAAACTAAACCTGTTGGTAAAGATGAAAGGAGTTTTTTTAATTTTTTTAATCCTATCTCTTCTTTTTTATTGTTTAGTTTATGATTCTAGTTCATGTTTTAATTCATCAATCTTCGAAAAGTGGAGGATCTTCGACAAATATTTCAATTGGGTATTTACCATATAGCCACATTTTCTTTGCCTATGAATTATCCAAATCAGGTGTCAGCTCATTTAGTTATGGATGGATTTAAGCGTCTATTAGCATTAGCTGCTGATACCGATATCGAATTTGAGCAAGCTAAAACAGTACGTTTAAGACAGCACTAAAAGTTAAGTTAATAATGTAAGCGTGAAACAATTTTCTTTCCTTATTTTAGTTTGACATTGAAAAGTCTTTTACTATAATAAATCCATCGTAACATTGTTTTATCTTACTTCATTTTCATGTACTAGTGGAGAAGGAGTTTATCGATAGGGCTTAAAATTGGTGAAAACCAGCGTTTTGCAAATATGTCCTACAAAGTTTCTGAACTTCTATGCTCGCTGTAGACAAATAAAAATTACATCATTCAATAGAGCTGATTCTAATCTACTCATTTATATTGGATTCCACTTTTGTTATCAGATCAAAAATCTATTTCGCTTTAGGTTGTTTACATTTTCCCATTTTTTCAATGCACCTTATACAGATAAAACCATGTTGTAGGGCTCATATATGTGTCACTTCTGTAGTACTTATAGCTTGTCTTTGTTGTTTTATTTCTCTTCTGCTTATTTTTAGATTAGTACTGATTTCTAATTCTCTCGACTTGCTCAGACGTTGTGCGCCTATAATAGTATGGGGGTCCGTCTGTTGTATGAATATGTATATATCTTTCAAGTTTAACATGAGTTTTTGAATAAATTTTACAGTACTTCACAAAATTATCCTCTCTCGAGAATCATGATAGCTGTTGACTTCGAATTTAGCTCTCATTGAATGCTGATCGTTCACTGAATGGTTTGTGCGATATAAAGGTTGCATTTTTTCCACAAAACGAGCAAATTATTTTTTACCAAAATGCATGACTATTCTCTATCTATGTATGAATGTTCCTGAATCAAGAGAAATAAACAATTTACTAGACTAAGCTACGAATTCGGACAAGACTCTCAAATTCCAAAAGTGACTCTCGATCGTAAAACAGCCGTTCACCAGCAACCATTAAGAGCCAATATTTCATATTCATACATAGGTAGAGAACAGTCATGCATTTTGGTAACAAATAATTTGCTCATTTTGTGGAAAAAATGCAACCTTTATATCGCACAAAGCATTCAGTGATAGAGACATAAATTTGCTGAACGATCAGCATTCAATGAGAGCTAAATTCAACAGCTATCATGATTCTCGAGTTTCAAGGGAGAGGATAATTTTGTGAAGTACTGTAAATCAAACAACACAGAACGATTCTCTTTTTTTTCAAGTAACCAAGGGGTATGTAATGTAAGTGAGTGTTTCTTCATATGTTGCAATAGTAGAAGATGTTGCGTTGAGAAGTTCATTCCTGACTTGCCACTGGATGATAAAGTAAGGAAATCTTAACGCATTTAATCTGATTCTCTATCGTCTTTTTTTTCTATTTGCTGACAACGATCTGCCGTATGAATTTACGTGGTTTTGTCTTAAGACAGTAGACAATTGCCTTTTTCTGCAACGAAGTATACGTTACCTAGGATTCATTCAAAGCAGAAATTATGCTGAGATTGGCAGTTGAATTAACGTCTGATGGAAATACAACACATATCGGACGATTTACTCCCCCTAAAACTACCCGAGAACATTAGACTCGTACGTCGACAAATGGTTTGACAACTTGTTAGCATGCAGCGGTCGATGCTTCTCTTTTGGTTTGGTGTATCGATTAGTTTCTATCGATTTTTGAAATAATCGTTTTCCAGAAAACAAAATGTAATTTTAGACTCTCGACAACTGATTTTAACTTTTGTTAGAATAAATGGTTGAACTCGACAATCTTGTGTTTGTGTTTTTGTTATTACCCGCTTTATTTAGATTATGAGATCAAAGCAGCTTAAATTAGATTACTTAGAGCGATATTGGTTAATTCGGTTTCTTTTGTTTTTTCTGGCACCAAGTGGTGTTTTTGCGTGGTTTATTTTTGCTTATTATTCTCACAATATCATGTACATTTCAACGAGCTCACTTCTCGATATATCATTATTAATGTATATGACCCTTTGGAACGCCTACGGTCATTCAACCGACATGATTCATATTCAAAAATGTGGATTTTTTACTGGAATTCTAAGAATAATTTTAAATATGGACAAACTACTACCAGTCTTGGCAGCGACCTTTTTCTCCTTGGCTGCTGCAATGCCGCACATTGGAATCATAAGAACTGAATACATACAAAAGAAGATAAACGTACCAGTAATAGAAACAATTGATTATATAGTAGTGATCACGTCTTTCGAATCGGTTGGTATTGTGATATTAATGCTGTACGGCATAGTATTGACCATAGGCTGGAACAAACGAACATTGAAGAAATTTAATGAAGAGAAAAACCGACTGTTCTCTAATATTATAATTTCGACATTTTTTGGACATAGATTAGTCTACTATATAATTTTTACAGGGCTCTTACCATAAGCAAAGATAGCAGTTCATAGGCTTTAACGACACTGAAATTTGGCTATATTCAGCTGTTTTTTATTTCACGCAGTCTCGTTTCTGAAATGAGAGACTTGTGTAACAGCCTCGTAGTCCAAATTATATTCCAATTCAAACGTCAATCGATCGATTCGAAGAAGAATGGCTTGCTGAGAATGCATGAGCCGTCTAATTAATACAAGGGCAACCAATGCAATTGTGGTTTGCTGCGCGGTTCTGTAGTTTAGATGATGAACGACGTAACACTTAAATAATCTAGGCTTTTATATTTAACTTTCAGATCAGTAGTCTTCGTTAAAAAGTGATGGAAATAGAATGGCCCGAACAATCGCGACGTATTATTAAAATGAGTATATTAATGGAAAGTGTATTAATAACAACAATATTATTGGGAAGTTTTTTACCGAATGCAATATTATCTCGTGAACACAAACATCAAAATATTACTTACAACCGTAAGTTAGATAAGGGTGATTCTTTCGAGAGTGTACCACATTTACATCGACTTTATCCGGATTGTTCGAGAGTAACAGGACTAGTACAACTTGAGCTCCTGATGACGAATATCACGTTTAAAAGATTCTAAAACAACG